GGTGCCCTGAGTTGAGGTGGGGCTGATGACTCCACACTAACGCACTCTGAGCTTGCTTCCCCTCAAACTAGTGGCAGTAAATCCTGCCTGAGTTTTCTGGTGCTGTGTATCTTAGTTGGCATCAGATGTAAGATACTAGACCCAGGTGTAGTACCTGAGGCTGACGATGCAGTCACTGGTCTGAGGATGCCCCACAGGCTGGGTCATGCTGGGCATTAATCTGTCCCTGCCTGGTCTTTCTTTCCACAGGGAGGGAGGCCAAAACCATCTCCCAAATCCTGGCTGATCAGAACTTGCGAAAGCAGAACGAATATGTAGAGGTAAAAGCCTGGGGTGCAGGATTGTCCCCAAGGTGCTGGCACTGCAGGGCTTGAGGGGAGGCCATGATGCTCCTGGGGGGGTACAGGCAACTGCAGGCCCAGATATAGACTTTGGGGGTGCAGTGGGGTGCTCTGTTCACTAGGTCCTTACTACTCAGACCAAGAACATACTATGCCACGGTGCACTGGTGCCGTGGCTTCTGTAGAACCAGTGAGGACCACCTGTCCTTGCAGGGTGGGTACCAGATGAACCTAGGACAGGTGGCTTGATCTTATTTCAAGCTGAAGTTGGATACCAAGGGTGTTGGCATCAGCAGGGATGTGCCCAAGGGGAGGGTGTGTTGAGTAGGCAGGAGTGGCTGCTTAGATCTGAGGGAAGGACCTGAAGAGTTCTGTATGCTTCCCACAACTCCCACTGTGCTCCCAACCCTGCTCACCTGCAGGAGGCTTTGACACTAGTGGCCACCCAGCAAAGATGAGTTGAGGGACCCTGGCCTTTTCTGAATTCTCAATTCACTTTATGCTATACTACATGTTAGGGAAAGGCTCGGGTGGCCGACAGGGTTCCTGGCTCACAGGATTTGAACCTGATAGAAGCTGCTCTAAGGCCTCCTCTGGATCTGTGTGGCATCAAGCAGAGATCCTTCCTGATAATGCTTACGTTCCTGCTGTTTTCCCTGCCTTCCCTGTGCTGCAGAAATGCATTAGCCTGAACCGCACCCTCCTAAAGAAGGAACTGGGCCTGGTGGAGAAGGACATCATTACCATCCCACAGCTCTTCTGCCTGGAGCTGCTGACCAACGTCCCCTCCAACCAGCAGACCACAAAACTCTTTGCGAGGCCATTCTTCCCTGACATGGTGAGGGCTGCTGGGCATGGCTGTTCAAACACAGCCCGTGCTGCTGGTGCCTTGGTGGCCAGATGGTTATAGCCTGAAATGAGAGTGTGGTGTAGCCCCCAGATTCACGTGCCTTGTACCAAAGCTGCTATGCGTGGGTTAAGAAAGAAGGATATTGAGGAACAAAGCTAAAAACTCTGGATTACTGGAGCCCCTGGAGTCGTAAAGCTGCCTGGGATAGGGTTCACAGACAGGGTCAGAGCAACAAATCCAGAGGCAAATAGGTAAGCCCATCAAGGTTAGGGGCTAGTCAGAGGGAATTCTGTGTTTTTCAGAGAAACATTGGCAGGCACTGGACAACTAAGCAAAAGTAGATTGATTTCACTGAGATTGGTTAGAGATGCCCTCATGGACACAGGTTTAAGTTTGGTCAACCCTAAGAAGAGGGATGTGTGGTTTTTCCCTATATCAAAATCTATGCCCCTGGGCTGGAGAGATGGCTCAGAGGTTAAGACCATTGCCTGCTCTGGTGAACCAAAGGTCCTGAGTTCAATTCCCAGCAACCACATGGTGGCTCACAACCATCTGTAATGGGGTCTTGTGCCCTCTTCTGGCCTGCGGGCATACACACAGACAGAATATTGTATACATAATAAATAAATAAATAAATAAATAAATAAATAAAATCTATGCCCTTCCCACTCACCCACCCACACCCCAGAAGAGGTAGGGATAGCTTTTATTTCTGGGTCTGGCCCTGCCTGACCCTAGTTCTATCTTAACAGCTGCAGATGGTTGTATTGGACAAGAATCTAGGAATCCCCAAGCCTTTTGGGCCCAAAATCAAGGGCACCTGTTGCCTGGAACAGAGAGTCTGCGACTTACTGGAGCCCCTGGGTCTCAAGTGCACCTTCATTGAAGACTTTGACTGCTACCTGACCGACATTGGAGATGATCGTGCCTGTATTATTATCCGCCGGGTGCCGTTTGCCTTCAAGTGGTGGAAGATGAGCCCCTAAGCCCTGGGGTCCCAAAGCTGCCAGATCTCCCCCACACCCCAGAGTGAATGGGTCTTTACCATACATAAAGCAGTTAATAAAGCGGTAATGGCATATGATTCCTGGTGCAGTAGGTTGAAGGGAAGGAGAAGCTGGAGAGTTAGGGTAGGGCCCCTCGGATCTACCAGCTGTAGATCCTGGAGGGAAAGGGAAATGTGGAGAGGGATCTTTAGATAATAACTGCAGAGCAAATAAAACAGGTTCTGGATGCAGCTTCAGAAGCTGCCTGCATTTGGAGGAGAGGCCTGGGCTGCTAAGGGAGCTTGCCCCACTTGGGCTGGATGCAGCCCCTAGTCACCACACCTTGGGGGAGGACTCAGGCTGGCGAGAAGACTCTAGAATGAGGCCAGTGCCAAGACTTGTCTGACTGGGAAGATAATCCCCAAACCTGACTGCTCTGAACATAAAGCCCCCATGGTACATCTACAACTTGGGGCTCTATCGCCCAACTTGAGGGTGGTGTGGATGAGAAAACTGAGGGCTGATAATCCTGTCCACCCTAAAGTTTTTTTTTTTTTTTTTTGAGACAGGGTCTCATGTTGCCCAGCCCAGCCTTGAACTCCCTACATAGCAAAAATGACCTTGAGGGCTGACGAGATAGCTCAGAAGGTAAACCTCAAGTTTGGTCCCTAGGACCTACACAGCGGAACAACGGATTTCCAACTTCATGCAAGTAGGCAACCCTCATCCTCTTGCCTCCTTCCTACCCAAGTGCTGGCCTGCGTGTAACTATGGTTAACAGCAGGAATGGGGCCAGGCGGTGGTGCATACATCTTTAATCCCAGCACTCGGGAGGCAGAGGCAAGTGGATCCCTGAGTTCGAGCCACAGCCAGGGCTGCTACAGAGTAACCCTGTCTCACAAACCAAACAGTGGGAGTGCAACAGTGCTCTGGCGTGTTGCACAAGCTCTCCGCAGCGAAATGACAGGCCTAGCACCACTTCTTAGGTGCACCAAGGGACTCCTGCTTTCCCGGAGACGGCTAGGGAGGAGCTGGAGGTGTGTGGGTTAGAGCACTGGCTGCTCTTCCAGGGGACCCAGTCTCAGCACCCACATGGCGACTGATGACTGTAATTCTAGTTCCAGGGGCTCCGTCTTTTGGCCTCTGAGGCACTCGCTACATGGCACACGAGGCACACACACACGAAGGCCAAACACGTAAAATTCTAAGCTTAGCTTACTGTCATGCTTGCTCTGCCCGCCTCTGCTGACCTGGCTCCTCAGCCGAGTCTGGGCTCTGCAGCTGTTGTCCCTGACTAGTGCCTGGACAAGGCTGCTCCTTAGACCTCTCCACACTGTAGTCACCGGGAACCAGGGTCCCTAATGGGGCAAGGGTGTGACAGGTCATCTGGGGTCCCTCTGTCCTTGTCCCAAGGAGCTCCAGTAACATGAGAGAACTAGGGAGGCTTCTCCACCAGCCGTCAGCACAGACCAGGCCTGGTCAGGGTAAGGTCTCCAGCTCTGCAGCGAGCTTCCCAGAGGCGGTTCCTGGAGGGGTGTGGGGGCGGATGACTACAGCCTTTCAGCAGAGGCTCCCTGTGACCAAGTGAGTCACGTGACTACACCTCATTTCCTCAACCTCAAGACTGCTGGTGTGTGTTGCAGGAAATGACAGCCAGGATGTGCAGTAGCCCTCAGGGACCTCGGTTCAGTTCCTGTGGTGGGAGACGAAAGGCTGACCTCAGTGCCCCCTGGTGGGTAACTGGTCAAACTGAAGCAGCCAGATAGCCTTAGATATCTTGTTCTGAATGTGGGGTTCCCTTCTCATAGACCCCACAAGACTGGGGTGGATAAAACTTTGCTGAGACTGCTTGCTCATCTAGGTTTGATCCCCAGCACCAAAACCTAAAGGCCGCGTCGAAAACATCTTAGGTCACCGGGCGGTGGTGGCGCATGCCTTTAATCCCAGCACTCGGGAGGCAGAGGCAGGCGGATCTCTGTGAGTTCGAGACCAGCCTGGTCTACAAGAGCTAGTTCCAGGACAGGCTCCAAAACCACAGAGAAACCCTGTCTCGAAAAACCAAAAAAAAAAAGAAAAGAAAACATCTTAGGTCAACATTTAAGTGAGTGTGGTACACAAACCTTTACTCCCAGTACCTAGAAAGCAGAGGCAGGTAGACCCGAATTCACGGCCAGCCTAGTGTACACACAAAATTCAGGCCAGAGGGAGCTACATAGTGACACTGTTCCCAAAACCAAACCCACCAAAAACCAAACCCACATTCAACACACCCGACCCCATGAACATCAACAGCTAGCCACCTTCATGCCCAGTACGCTCCCATTAACCAAGGGCTGACACCTCACATATGCTGGAAGCAAGAAGCTAGCCTGAGCTACGTGAGACCTTGTACCCATGAGCTGGGACATGTGTCCTGGGGCACCTCCGTGGACATTCCCACTAAGGAAGCCTCTGACAGTTGTCAACATGCTGGCCTTTGCCTGTTCATTTCTTAGGGATGGTCAGGGCTCTCTGTACCCCTCTAGTCCAGGATGTCCCAGAAGCTCTTTAGGGGCTACTTTCACCCTCTTTGGACACTTTTTAAGAAATATATACATTATGTATACAGTGTTCTGCCTGCATGTATTCCTTAGGCTAGAATAGGGCACCAGATCTCATTACGGATGTTTGTGAGCCACCGTATGGTTGCTGGGAATTGAACTCAGGACTTCCGGAAGAACAGTCATCTCTCCAGCCCTCTCTGGACACTCTTATGGGGCACGCGCAGTGCTGAGGGTACAGTCCACACTACTGAAGAGGAAACACAAGAGCCGAGGCAGAGTAAACAATGATGCCATTTATTTAAAATGTTTACTCCAAGAAATATATATATAAAAAAAAATAAGACAATTAACAGCACTAAACCAGGCACCTTCAACCAAATCACACCATCCTCGCTTGTTCCCTTCCTGCTACCCTCTCATCGGTGACTGGAAGACTTCAGGAGTCCACGGGCGGCCAGAATGGCTCCTGCCCAGGACTTCTCACTGTCCCTGTTCTAAAGGTGTTTCCCAGTGGAAAAGCTCAGGTGGACATTTTAGCCTAAAGGAAGGGGTTGCGGCTGGACTCAAGGATCTCTCCCCAGAAGGGACTTTCTGCTCAGCCCCCACCCCTGCACTACCCAGGAGTTGACTGCTGGCTATGGTTTGCTCCCTGGAAGATGAGCCCAGCTCAGCTCAACTCAGGGCTATTGCATCCGCAGCCCTCTTGGTGACCACACAACTCCAGGACAAAGGAGCAGACACTGAGCAACACTAGCCAGAGAGAGAGCAGGGAAGGCTCGGGCGGCACGTGGAGGCGAGGGGTGGCGTCTGGGGTGACCAGGACAAAGCAGGTTAGTTTTGCGGGAGCACTGCCACTGAAGAAGCTTGTCCCTGGACTGACTATAGCTGGACACGCGATGGGAGACAGTGGGAACTCGGATCCGTTCCCGCCAGGCCATGGCACTGGCCGAGACAAACACACCTTGCAAAGCCAGAAGCTGCTGTGGAGTACTGGGGCGGGAAGGAAGCAGCGACTAGATCATTTTTGGCATTTTAACATAGAGACAGTAACAAGCGTCACAACACCAGAAGCGAAACCATAAATTTGAAGACCAGAATTAACTTTCTCATCCACCCAGCCTCACACTTCAGTTCTCCCCGACTCCCCCAGAGCACCACGGAACTAAACCTAGTTAAAGCAGCCGACACAACCCAGACCCTCTGGGAACCAGGGGCCCCAGCCCGAGCTGCCACCACACTCGGGATCCAGGAAAGGCACCTTGGAACTCAGCCGCAAAGTCAATACCAGGACGGGCTCGGGAAGAGGGCACTTGTGGGGATGTGGGTGGCAGTCACAGCATCTGCGCTGACACGCGGGGCAGGGGATTTCATCAGAAATCCCAACTATTTGGTACCAGAGCCAAGCAAATGCAAGCGCCAAAGAGCACTGGGGCCAGCAGAAGAATGGCTAAGTCTCAAAACAAGGTGCCATCCCAGGCAGAGGGGACAGCAGGAGCCGACAGGTCACAGAGGACTGAACACACACTTGACTGCTGGCTGATCTCTAACTGGGAAGCACAGTCTGGGCTCCACAGGGAGCCATAAGCCAGGCCCTTCAACAACACAAAGGGTCCCTACCTTGCCCACCCCCATATCCCATGGTCCCCAATTCTCATTTGGACTTGAGAGCTAAAGTAGATATAAATGGCTAAACACAGAGACCCCAGTTCCCCCACCAGGGGGGAAATGGCTGGTTCTACAAATGCTTCAGCCAAAAGGCAGTGGGCCTTGCAGACAGCAAGCCAGCAAACAGCTATTGGGTGGAGGTGAGGGGCAGGAGGGCCCACAAGCTAGTGACCAGGTCTCCCAAAGCAGGCAGGCGGGAGCTGGGTGGAGACCGAGCACTGGGGATTTCTTGGCCTAGAGGCTGCTGGTTCCTGGAAGGGCCGTTTCTATCTGGGAAAGTGGCGATTCCTCTCCCACGTGGCACCCACTCGGATCACAATGCTAATTATGGCTGGAATGGTAGGGCTGGACAAGGATACTCAGGAGGGGAAAAAAGAAATACAACTTATATATAAAGCCTAAATTGCTCTGAGTTCCTGCCTGTCTCGTAGAACGGCAAGCTGGCTATGAGCAGATGTTTTAATCAAACATTGAGGGAAAACACTTTGGAAAGCATACAGAAAAAGGTAGTTAACGTTGAACTGTTTGGAAACGGAACCGCAGAGAGGCTGACCCAATGCATCGTCGGTCAACTTTTGCTTCCTAAATTCCTTGTCTGACTTCTGGTCCCAGTGCACGTGTAAATGACAGCTGCCACGAGGGGAGTGCCACCCTGCCTCAGAGGGTACGTGGGGTGTACTCGGGCAGCCGCTTGAGCTTCTCTTTCTCAGCCTCGCTCTCGTCTCGTGCTATCACCAAGGAGTGTGAATAGCCCATGGCCACCTGAGAGAACAAGCCAATGTCAGCAACACAAGCACCCTACACACACATCCCAGATGTCGAATGCTCATGCGCTGGATTCACTGGCTCAGTGGGGGTCAGAAACTGGGCTGGGCCCTTGGAAAGCAAATTAAACCCTTCTCTCCTTGCTAAATGTCCAGTGTCACAGGCCCAGATGGAAGGCCTTGAAGCCCAGCGGGCAGGGACCGGGGGCAGCTCCACACTGCACTTGCTTTCCGGATCACAGGTCAAAATGTATTTGCTGAGGACTAGTTTTCCCGACCCTGGCCTAGTGGCAAGGATCCCAGTTTGGGGGGGGGGGGGGGTAGGGAGTGATGACCATCGAACCAGGAACTTGCCAGGGACCTAGATCAGCACCCCTCGGTCCCTCTCTTGCTGCAGGCTGTACCCTTCAAACACACAGCCACAGGACAAGAAAGCCAGTTAAGGGGTGTTACACAGCTTAGCAGGCTGTGAGCAGGCTGTGAACAGCTGTGACACCGCAAGCCCCACTCACCTGTTCTGAGAAGATGCCATCCAGGGTCTTCACCTCCTGAGCTGCAGTGGAAGATTTGGGCTTGTGGTCCCCATATCCCTGCAAAGACAGAAACACAGACCATGGGAAGGTCTAACCAAAGGAAAATGTGTGTCTCCAGGCATCACTCACGGAGGTGGGAGATGAAGACACTGTGATTATGGGACAAAATGTGCAGAGCACCGAGTGGCAACATCAGACACCAGAGGTTAAAAGAAAGTGGCCAAGGGCTGTTGGAGCGCACCGGACCAAGGGTGGTTCGCCCTGAGGCTTATCCTGCACCCTGGTCTCATCTTCCCAAATTTGAGGAATGGCCCCTGAAGCAGCATCACCTCCCTGCCCCTCAGGCTGTTACTAAGACACAAAGTTGTGTTTAGAAGAAATTAAAAAATTTTTTCAAAATTTTGTGTTTGGGTATTTTGCCTGCATGTATGTGTGTTCCAGCTGTGTACCAGGTAACTGCAGAGGCCAGAAGAGGGCATCAGATCCCCTAAAACTAGTTATAGACAATGGTGAGCCACCATGTGTGTATGTGCTGGGAATCGAACCCTCATCCTCTGCAAGAGAAAGCAGTACTTATCCCATGAGCCATCTCTCTAGCCCCAGAAGATCAAGTGTTTTTTGACAGAGGGTCTTAATTTGCAGCTTAGACTATCCAGTAAGTCACTAGACCACTGACATTACTCCACCATGCAGTTCAGGCTGTCAAAGACCATTTCTGATGGGCCCCAAAAGCTGTAACAGCCACATATAATGGCAAAAACCTTCAATCCCAGCACTTGGGAGGCAGAGGCAGGCACATCTCCGAGTGAGGCCAGCCTGGTCTACATAGCGAATTCCAAGACAACCAAAGCTACATGGTGAGTTGCTGTCTTAAAAAAACTCCAAACGGGCTGGAGAGATGGCTCAGTGGTTAAGAGCATTCATTGCCTGCCCTTCCAAAGGTCCTGAGTTCAATTCCCGGCTCACAACCATCTGTAATGAGGTCTAGTGCCCTCTTCTGGCCTGCAGGCATGCATGCAGACAGATTATTGTATAAATAATAAATAAAATTAAAAAAAAAAACAATTCCAAACAGAAGCTGGACATTGAAGGCACACACCATTAATCCCAACACTCACAAGACAGAGGCAGGCAGATCTCTGAGAGTTTCAGGCTAGCTTGGCCTACAGAGTGAATAAGACAGCCAGGGCTACACAGAGAAACTGTTTTGAAAACAAACAAAAACACACCGTCCATCCTTCTCTGAAAATACAAAAAACGGAGGAAGGTCCTCAGTCTCAGGAGGGATCCCTTGGGTCTGGGAACCCTGAGGAGTGGCTAGTGGCCCTCAGACACCAGTGATTGCTTGAGGGACAAGGACAGCCTGCCTCTCTGACTCTACCAATGAGAAATGTCTGGAAGCCACAGGAGTCAGGACGGTACATGCAGCTCATACACTGCTTTCTTTTTTTTTTTTTTTTTTTTTGGTTTTTCGAGACAGGGTTTCTCTGCGGCTTTGGAGCCTGTCCTGGAACTAGCTCTGTAGACCAGGCTGGTCTCGAACTCACAGAGATCCGCCTGCCTCTGCCTCCCGAGTGCTGGGATTAAAGGCGTGCGCCACCAACGCCCGGCTTCATACACTGCTTTCTGTGAGCGTGGACGACGGGTCCCAATAGTAGGACAACGTCACTGTAGCCCCACAGGTCTGACACCTCCCACTGTCCTGTTCTACTGCATGGATGACAAGCAGCCTCACCACCAGCCAGGACAGCTTTAGAACTTAGAAACCAAATGACACCCTCCTCATGCCCATTTCCAGGTCTCTCTCGGCTAGTCCAGCTCTTCCTAGACCCCAGGGAGGGCTTACCAGTTCCCCGAAGGTTGGCGACGGACCCCAACTGATGGTGCTCTCATCGGCCGCCACAATGATGCTGCTCTTCCTGCAAACAGGCAGAAGCTGTCACTACCCACCCGAGGCGAGGACATCTTGCAGGCCACCTGTCCCTCTGGCTTGTGCCAAGGACACCTCTTAACACACCCACCACCTCCATACCGCAAACTCAGTAAGGAGTAAGAGGCTCCTCCTGGCCAGGGATGGTCCGCATTCATTAGCGGATCAATACCAGAGCCAGGGCCTCATTGCCCATCTGTCCTGGGCCTTTCAGAGGGAGAGTCCTTTGGGAGAAACACTAAGGTGGGGAGGAGGCCACATAAGGACAAAGTGACAGTTCATCCTCAAGAGAAAGTTAACAAGAGGGACACTAGGGCAGGGGTGGAGGACAGACAGACAGAGGGACCAGGGAGCAACAGCTCAGAGCCAAGCTAACCCACATACACCCACCCAGATTTATCACCTATAAGCACTGGGTAATTCAGCAGGTACCCTCAATGCGAACATCAAATTAAAAGTCGCTTCCCTACCCACTTGCTGTGTTAAGAAAGTAAAACTTCAGAATTACTTTCCATGAAGGAAGGAGCCAACTATCCTAGCCACTAGGCCCTCACTATCCCCTCTACCAAATTTTGGGGATTTGGTATTTCCTATCACCAGCCAAGAAAACCCCAAGTCAGCACTCACAGCAGCTTTCCCAAGGACACAGGCACACAGGGCACCTAACAGTCACAGGAAGAAACAGACACCACGCACCCCTGGCACACTCACTCACCCACACGCGAGGCTCCGGATCCGCCAGCCACAGAGGTCCTGCACTGCTTTCGGGTACATAGTAGACTCACGGGATGTATTGGTGGCCCCCCAGAAAAACAGGCCACCTAGAAGAAGCAAAGCACATTAGTGTCACAAGGAAGCATCTCAGGACACCAAGGTGATAAACCTGCTTAAATGGACATTGCAGAGATAGAGTCAAGGACAAAATGGCTATGGGCCCGCCCTATGGGGAGTACAGCTATCCCAAGAGGGGAAAATCTTGCACATGGGACCTGGGAAGACGGGTGGGGGCAAACAGACACCGACCCACTTCACTGACGGCAAAGGAGCAAGTATAGCCAGCGTAGATCTGGGTCGCACCACGCCCTGGAAAGTCAAACAGCTTCACCAGGCGAGGCACCATCTCATCCTTCTGCTCTGCATGGCCCAGTCGGCCGTAGCCACCAAAACCCCAGGAGAAGACTCGCTTCTGTGAGTCCAGGACCAGCTGCAGGGAGAGGAGACACAGACTGTGACTTGCAGGTCATGGCTTCTGCCCAGAGGACCCGGGATAGCAGCAGATAGCAAAGGAGCAGCCCAGAAACTTCACAGCCTATAAGGCAAGAAGTTAGCTGGCCACACAGACAGCCAGCAGGGCCCAGCACACACTTCCTTTTATAGAGGTATGATTTTCTTTTTTCCTCCCTGAAGCAACACTTGAGCTCCTATTCCAACACTGTCTAAACTAGACACAGGAGGGAAAGGCTGCTACCTACCTGCTCTGCACTTGCCGGCCACAGGTGCACAGATGTGCCAGCTGTTTACCATTTGTCTTTTCTGTCTTTGGGGTTTCACAGCTAAGCCCCATGAATGTGCAAACTCAGCATGGACAGAGGATGTACAGGTCAGGGCCAGAGCACTTGCCCAGCATGTGCAAAGCCCTAGGCTCCATACCAAGCACTGCAAAACATATAACATGGGTTGCCCCAAGGTCGAAATTGGCATCCTGGTTCAAGGACTTGCAGGCTCGAGACACATGCATTCTTCACTGAGCACCACCAAGTTGACAGAGAGTGGCCCTGGGACTCAACTCCGGGATTCCTTTCTGCTGCCAAAGCAGAACACCCAAACCAGACACACCCACTCTCAGCGAAGAGATCAAGAAGGGCTAACGACAGGTGCACACTGCTCACCCCTCTGGGGGTTTGAGGCCAGCCTGGTCTACAGAGCGAGTCCCAGGCCAGTCAGGGCCACAGAGGGAGACTATCTTAAAAAGAGGATTGGTAAGATGGCCGAGCAGGTGAAAGCACTCGCCATGCAGGGCTGCTGACTGATGTCACTCAGTGTCCTAACTTCCACATACTCCTTCAGTGCCTATGTCCTCACAAAGACGAAGAGCTCAAGGCAGCAAATGCACACAGGCTATCCTCCCAGGGTTGTTCTGCTCAGAGGACCTTTAGGGGACACACCCTCAATAGTTAATCATTCATACCCTAGTATGAACTCATATTCATAGTGACACAGTGTGCGTGCACACGACACACCTGGATGTTCATGTTCAGATGCGTCTGTGGCAATCAGATCATGATGGGAAACACCCAGCCTAATGACATGAAGCTGAGTAAGGCAGACACCCAGGACCGGTCTATACGAGCATGGATGGTTTTGGACAGTGAGAAAAAAAGAAAGCTTACTGTGTGGTTAGCACCACAGGCTACATCTCGAACTACCACATTTGGGACAGGCAAGATCTGCCCGTCCTTGGTCTTCTCAATGAAGATGGCCACCCGCCGGGGTACCAGCTCACAGTCATACTCTATCCGCTGTGCCCGGGCGATGAATTTCCCATCTGAGTTGTGTCCTGTGGTAAGCAGAGTCAGCCATCAGCAACAGCAGAATGCATAGGGCATAGAGGTACACTACTACATTTGTACTGTCACAGGCCCAGGTCCACCCTGCCCGCAGCCCAGCCACTTGGTCATGAGCTTGTGGTAACTTAAAATGCATATAAAACAACACGGATACCCTATGTAATAAGACCATAATTTGGGACAAACCCTACATACACTCTAGGAGGAAAAGGAAAATGCGTTTCCTCCTGTGGCTGAGGTCACAACAGTAGGCAGCTCTCATCGTAAAGCCAATCAATCTACCAAGCACCTGGAGTTGAGAGTTCTGAGGACATCCAGAAGGGAAAGGGTGAGCACGATCGCTCACAAAACTCTCCATTTCTGTCTACAAATGAGTAATTTAAACATACTGCAAAGGACATATAAATCTGAAATTCACAAACCACCTGCAAGAAGACATGAGGGACTGGGTCGGCATTAGCTTCATTGGTGAAGGGCCTGCTCCAGCCCAGCATTGAATTCCCATGTCTGTGGCCCTAGGACCCAACATTTTCTGGCTTCATGCATTGGTGATATATCCCAGCACTTAGAGATGGAGGCAGGAAGATCAGGAGGTAAAAGCCATCCTTAGCTACACAGGGGATTTCAAGCCAGCCTGGGCTACATTGAGTCTATTTCAGAAACAAACAGATACGGCATCGTGGCCCACACCTTTAATCCCAGCACTCAGAAGCAAACTGATCTGAGTTTGAAGCCTGTCTAGTCTACAAAGCAAATTCTAGGCTAGCCAAAGAAACAGTGAGAATAGATCTCAAAAAACAAAACAAAAAAACCCAACAACAACAAAAAAGTAAATAAATAAAACCACCAAATAAACAGAACAAGTCACCAAGTCACAAGGGGCCAATCTGGGCCCACTAGCCAAGACCCTGGTTGCTTACAGTCCAGAATGTTCTCGGTTCCTGCCCCACCTCCCAGAAGTGCTGTGACAATGTGGGCTGCATCCACCTGGCAAGGACTGACCCACGGGTGAAGTGCTGTCATGGCAGGACACTGACTGTTCCCAGTAGGCTGTGGTTCTGCTCATCAGACCTTTACAGGCAGGGATGTGTGGGTGCTGCACTAAGAAAACAGCCCTGGACCACAACCTAACTGAGCACATCAGGGTGCTGGGCTTGGCTTAGGTGTTGTCGAGGCCTGCCTTCTGTGTGCAGTTCAGATCACCCTCACACACCACTGTGAGGTCCCAGGCACTGAAAAGCCTAAAGCTACCAGGAACCTCGCCATCTTCCCAACAAGTTCTCTACTACTGACTAGGGCTCCAAGCAGTGTCTGCCCAAGTGTTAACTACACCCAGACTGTCCCAGAGAGCAGCAGGCAGACCCTGCCACTGTTTTTCTTCTACCTCCTTAAAGACATTGCAATCAGCACCTGGCTGCTGTCACAGTGCAGGCAACACTTCCTCCAGGAAGGTGGGGTGGGGCGGCTACCTTCTCCTCTGGGAGGAATTCAATGTCTTTCCCTGGTCAGCCATCCCTGGTCACCCAGTCACTGCAACAGAACCCCTTCTGAAATCACATTTGGATTCTAAAGGCGTCTACCCCGAGACAGGAGCAGAGTTGGGAGACTGGGCTGTGTTTAGCTTTGAGAGGGCTTTCACTACGCAGCCTTGGCTGGAACCCAGGTAAACCAAGCCACCCTCAAAGCTGCTGCAATCCTCCCGCGCTGCTCTCAGCTGCTAGGATCACAGGTGTGCTGGCACAGCTGGCTCTGAGCAGGAACACGCTTCACAGTGAACTGCTGAGTTCAGAATGAGAGGCTCTGCACACCAGGTGAAGCGAGGTTTCTAGCTGCACACAGTGCCTAACTGTCCCTTCCAGAACCATTCCATGAACACCACCCTTATTGCAAAGATGAAGCTGCTGAAGGCAAACAAGCTGGTTTCATCAAGATGCTTGTCTAAAGGTGGCAGGCAAGCTGCACACGTAGCAGGAAGCACAGAAACACACTTCCTGTGTTGGGCCTGGGGATGGCAGGAGGCCCGCCTGTGGCTATGGAAACCGTTTATCCAACAAGCCCTGAGAACTCCCTGGCAACCAGCACGGATGTGCGTAAGGGGCTGATCGAACTTCTTATTCACTTCTGACTCGAGGTATATTTAGTTTCCCAGAGTCACTATTCCCTGTAGTCTACGGCCAGTGCAATGCTCTGCTGCTATTTATACTCTCCCATCTGCGCACTTCTAATGACGCTGGGACCCAGCAACCCAGATCCGGGGCTGCTGCAGGCTGTTCAGACACCAGCAGGGGGCGCCCACACCTCACCTCCTGCTCAGGACTGGAGAAGGCACCAAAAGAGCTGCCTCGGGAGTCAGAGAAAGGAAAATGGAGACCTTGCAAAATTTGGGTGGCAAGCTTTGCCGGCTCTGAGGACAGTTTGCTGACCTCCTCTCGTCTGCTCTGTGCCTGTATAACGTCCACTGCGGTGAGGGATGAGCTGCAGACATGTCAGGTGCTTATTCAGTCAAGATTCTCAGAACCTCACCCTTATGTAATTCTCTCACTAATAAAGGCTGAGAGTGGCTAGGCTTTTGTCCTTCTTTCTGTCTGAGATTTTCATACTAATGGATTTCCAAACCCAAACAAAAGCTTTGCCAGACTCAATCCTGATGTTTTCACTGAGGTAGAGCATCTTGACCCCTGTAACCTGTGAGTTAACAGCAAGCTGGCCCGCGGAGCATGAGATGCACTTAGCAGGAGCAGCTATTGTCTGGATCAATTACCCACACTTGTAACACGTGTGCGCAGCCCCACACTGCCTTCTGGCTCTACGCTTAGTTAGATTACAGAGCTTTTAAGAAATAGACTTCCATACCCAGCTGGCCATATTCAGGGCACCCAAAGGAATAGAGGTTGCCTTTACAGTCCATCAGCATGCTGAATTCAGCCCCGCAGGCCATCTTGGTAATTGGCTGCCCATTGTACATGATCTGAAAAGAAAAAGCCAACTTTCAGCTCCTTGTTATCTCTTCCTTATTCCACTCTGGTACGAAGCAGAGGGCTTACCACAGGGGTGGATTCTATGGCTCCATGGCTGCCACTTGAACACCTGTTAGCACAAAGCTGACCACCCCCCACCCTCCCAGGACAGCAGAGGCTGAGAACATGGCTTCATACTCTGGAGTCTCCTAGCAGCAATCCCCCCCCCCGCCCGCCCGCCCCAAATCATCTGGCACAAGCACAGGGACCAGGGCTGGAGGCAGCAAAGTCCTGCAGTGACCCCAAAAGCTGACTTCTGGTACTAATACTGCTATAAGCCTCAAACAAGGAAGTAACAAGCAGGGCTTCCGTAAGTAAGTGATAGGCTGGTCCCACCACACAGGGACAGAAACCTGGCAAAGGCCCTGACAGAAGGAACAAGCATTTAACCCTTGATGGTGTGGGCGAACATGGCACCCAGGCTCATCCCATCCTTACCCATTCTAACTATCCAATTCCACTCTGTAAGTCATAGCTAACAAAACAGGAGTCCTTCATTATCCCTCAAACCCTACAGGCATAGCCATGAGGTTCCCCCCACATGCACCCCTGAGCCATTGGCAGTCGGCACCGTTTTCCAGAGTGGAAGCCCCCTGCACAACCCCCACTCCATTCTGAGGTCAAAACTCGCTATCTGCCGGATGGTAGTGCGTACCTTTAAAGGCAGCACTTAGAGGCAGAGGAAGGTTGTGTGGGTTTGAGGTTAGCCTGTTCTACAGAGTGGGTTCCAGGACAGCTGGACCTACACAGAGAAACCTTGGGGGTATGGGGCAAGGGTCACAAACAACAAAACCAGGGTGTCTGCAGGCGAGGAAACCCTTGCATCCCACGGCAGGGCTGACCTAACATCGCTCCTCTCCATCACATGTTCGCAAACCTAAGCTGCCCCAAGTCCACAACCTTGCTGGTACCTGAGCAGGGCTCGGGACAGCATCTGTCTGGTTCCCAAGGCCCAGTTGTCCCATCTTATTCTCTCCAAAGGCAAACACGGAGCCAGTGTCTGGAAGGAGAGAAAAACATGACAGAACAGGATGTAAGGGGTCAACACTTTCAAATGGATTTGGATCAGTGTTAGGAAAACAGCTTACCCTGTAGTGATATTTTGTTTGTAATCTAACAAATAAAGCGTACCTGATCAGAGTGCAGAGCTAAGCCACTAGTTAGCTACAGAGGCCAGGTTTTTGTGGAGAAAGAGGCAGATGGAGTTCAAGGCCACAAAAGAGTGACCTAAGCGCCAGAAGTGGTGGCTCACACCTTTAGTCTCAGTACTTGGGCGTCACACACCTTTAATTCCAGCACTAGGGAAGTAGAGACTGGCAGGAGGATGCAGTCTGAGGATTTGTAGAGATAGGATCGCCCCTTCGGTCTGAGCACTGGTAGACGTAACGGCTCTCTAATGGCTGGCTGCTCTGCTTCTCTGATCTTCAGAATTAGCCCCCATAGCTGACTCAGTTTTATTAAGAATAACCAGAATTCATGCTACATCATCCACTAATACAGAGTTGTGTGTGTGGCCATCTGTCCCAAGGATGGCAAGGGCATACAACAGAGCTGAGTCCTGCCACAAACAGGACCTGGTCTGGGCAGCCAGGGGCCACCACAGGGGCTCACAGCCTTCAGGAAGACACCCACCAAACTGGGGCATCACCGCCCTTTTGACACTGGCCCAGACTCATACAACAACTTCACCTACTCCAGAGAAAACATCTTTGTGGCCTTTGCCTCAGCTTGAGCAAAGACAGCCACCTTCTTACCTGTCAGCGCCAGGGTGTGGTTGCGCCCACATGCGGCCAGCACGATTGCCTCGTGACTGAGTGCCTCAATGAGTCTAGGGGCTTCAACCCTCTTGGTATCACCGTGGCCCAGCTGCCCCTTTTCATTCCGACCTGTGAGGAAATCATGGCTGGCAAGGTCAGCAATGCAAGGACAAGCTAAGGCAGCACCCACTCCATGCCCCAAAACAAACCTTCAGCAAATCCCCGAGAGCAGGATGAGCCTGGCTACTCTCCCCAGTGAAAAGGCGCCCCCCTGATAATATCCCAACAGGAAGTAAACAGCTATGGGACCATCCTTCTTGGGGAATATTATTAATACATCTTTGGAAAAAGATGTATGACTTTTGTTTATGCTGAATTTGTTAACTCTGTGACGCTGTTACTGTGCCTGTCTAAAACACCTCACGGTCTAATAGAGATGAACAGCCGGCCAAAAGCAAGGCAGGAGGTAGGGCCGGCAAGCAGAAAGTATAACTGGAAAGAGAAGAAGGAGCAATTGGAGAACAAGGAGAAGACATCAGGGGCCAGCCAACCAGCAAGCCACAGAGGAAGAAAAAAGCCCAGAGGCAAAAGGCAATTAAGATAATGTAAGAAAAGCTAGCAAGAAACAAGCCAAGCTAAAGCCGGGCATTCATAAGTAATAAGTAATAAGCCTCTGTGTGCGTGATTTATTTTTAGGAGCTGGGTGGCAGACCCCCTCAAAAAGCCAAAAGAGAAAAACATCACAGAACACAATCCCAATGGCCCCCAGTCCCTGTTACCCCAGGAAATGCTTGGTGTGGCCTGGATGCTCCACAGGCATCAAGCTTTAGGAACCCCGTTCCCACCTGCCTTGCCACGGCAGCCGGGAATCCTGTCCCCTCCTCCTCATAGAGGGTCTGATTCCTACTGTTGATCTTCATTTCTTATGTCCATCCCCACCCTGTTATAAGATCCAAGCCCTGAGGCTGGAGAGATGGTTCAGTGGTTAAGAACACTGGCTGCTCTTCCAAAGGACAGGAAGGAGTTCAATTCCCAGCACCCACAGGGCAGTGTCCAACTATCTGCAACTCCAGCTCCAAGGGATCTGATACCCTCATGTCATACAGACATGCATGAAGGCAAAGTCCCAATGTACACTAAATAAATCTTTAACAACAAAAAAGCCCAAGCCCTGAGTACCCTCATGACAAGGGTCACCTTCATCAGGTCAGCTGTGCTGTACCCAAGGGCGTGTGAAGACAAGCAGGGGACCAATCCTGTGGAGGCTTTAGCAATGCACAGCTCCTCAGGGAGCCCTGGTTCAGCTGAGGACCGGCAATGGGTGGGTTCCAGGGACAGTTGGAAGCCCTGAAATCCCACCCAGGTTCTAACACAGATCCAAAACAAAACCGAGTAACCCCAGGACCATCTCTCTCAGAGATGCACTAGGCAGAAGGCCACGGGCAGGATGGGGTTCCCATTAATCTTCCCCAGTGGTGAGCGTCCCCTTCTGGTTAGTTCAGTCACGAGACAGGTGAGTGAGCTGAGGGAGCCACAGCAGACTGCAGGAGGCAGGCAGACAGGGGACCAGCCTCCCTCATAGGGGGACCCCCCCAGCAGATGGACATCAATTAAAGGGCTAGTTTCAGGGTCCCGCGCTGGGCAAGCGCTAACTTCAAGAGGAGCCTGCCACACCTAAGTCCAGTGGCAGGCAGGCTGGATGTCACTCAGAGGCCTAGCACAGAGTAGCAGCCTCTCCTTCCTGCTTGGGATGCCTCTGGCGCCCTTCCCCTCCCAAGTGTCTCACAGTGGTCTCATGATGTCCTGCAGATCTCTACAACCCTGCTGCTGTTCTAGGGAGCTCCCCCCATTCTTGCTTTGGAGGAAGCACTCCTGGCACAGAGTCTGCCCTGAGGTGCAATCGAGAACCCGAGTAGTGGTGAGACCGGCATGGAGATCAAAGAGTAGTGCTGAAGCTGGGGAGCTGACCTAAAAGGCCTTGGCAGGTACTGAGGACGCAGCAGCAGGGGATGCGGGAGGGGCCCTAGACCAACCCAGAGAAAACAAAAATTGGGGCAGATGCTGGTGTGCCACCCAGAGCCTGGGAGGATAAATTTGGGCCACACACACTTGTTAGATTTTTTTTCAACAGAATTATAAAATTAGCAAAGTGCAGAGAAGACGGCAGATGTTAATATATTTGGACTCTGGTACAGCAGCTCATGAAATCACCAAAAAATGGCTCAAACAGACCAAAATAAAAACGTCATATGGACTAGAAGCCAGCCAAAGGCTAGAAACAAACGAGAGAAGCCAACTCCCCCAGCTGCATGAGCCCTGTGGCTTGGATGACGCGAGCCTTGTGCAATACTTCCTTCTGGCCCACCTGGAAAAAATGATAGCTGGGAGCCACAACACAGCCTGGCAGGAGGGAGGCAAGAGAAATGTGGGCAAAGGCCCTAAATCAGACCTGAGGCCAGGAGCCCCAAGGGCTCAGCCACAGGGGCCTTGTAACAAGATGTGGCAGCTACAAAAGCTGGGGGTGGCATTTGGACTGTGGGGACACAGGCCTCGTGTCCCATGGTGCCACAAGCAGGTCAAGGGCCGAGTGCAGGGACAACAGGCCAGAACAGATGGCTGGTCAGAAAGATCATACTTGTCTCAAGTTCAGAAAAACATTCTTCAAGAAGGATTCAAAGAACAGGAAGTAATGAGATGGCTCAGCAGATAAGAGGAACTGGCTGCACAAGCCTGGAGACTTGGGTTCAATTCCCAGAACTCACAGAAATGTGGAAGACAAGAACTGACTCCCAAGTTGTCCTCGGCTCTCCACATGTGCAAACATGCAGATGCACACACATGTGCACGCACGCACACACGCACACGCGCACACACACACACACACGCACACACGGGGGGGGGGGGGGGGCAAGCAGCCATGGATCCAGACGAAGACAGAACCTCTTCCAGGTGACTCTAAGTCACACTTGACAGTAGCCCACACCCAATACTTTACTTACCCCAGCTCCACAGCTTCCCTTCTGTGGTGATGAGGAGGCTGTGGGCAGCACATGAACCCGAAACCACGGTCCGCACCCGGACTCCCGACAGGCACCCATACCTATGGGGCCCCCACAAATTCTGACCAAGGTTGCGATACGCAGCTGCAAAGGGAAGAACACAAATTAAACCCCTGCAGAGCACAACTGGACAGGTGAGGACACCCCAACATTATCACCAGGGGTCGGAAAAACCAAGCCTGCCTGGGGTCACTGGCCGGTCACCCCTACAGTGCTGGGTCCCAACCCTACTACAGGGTAGGGTGGCCTTCTTGCACCCTACCTGGAGTGACACACGCTCATCACTGGGTGCTCCCATCTACCCTCCTACCTGCACCTCAGCCTTCCCACAGCCAAAAGGCAGGTCGTTCTCAGCAGGGTTTGGTGTCCCCATCACCCTTCAGACTTTCCAGAAAACCCACATCTGACTTTGCACTGTACCCCTTATTTAACCTGTACCCCACTCCAAGCACCCACCTATAACTGCTTCTGTGACAGGGAGCAGGGACCAGGCCATAGACCTGCCCTTGCCACTCCTACTTCCCAAGGCAGGGGTGTGACTTTCTTTTACCTCCAGGACAATGGTGGCTATCTTGAGAAACTAGCCACAGTTCAGGTGACTCAGACATGGACTGGCTAGCAAGTAAAGGCCTTCCACTGGTCACCCATGAACTGCAACAGTACCAGGCTCTAGAGGGGGTCAGAGTGCAGTAGAGAATGGCCAGGCTCTTAACTAGCTGGCTCCCCAGCATCCCGCCAATGCCTCTTTCCCTGAAGAGGGTACCATCAGCCGTCACAAGAACATCAGGCCATCTCCTCGTTCCAGGACTCCCACCCCCCATTTCAGTCGAGAGAAGCCCAAGTCAAAGTCAGCTGGCAGTGGTCTCAGCTTCAGAGCCAGGCTGGTAGGCATTTATCCCTCGGTTTCCAGACCCCCAGGACCTGGTCCTTACCACAGGCTATAGCAAAGACCACGATGCTGCCACACAATCCAGGCCACATTAAAGGTAGGGAGTTGCAAAGATCCAAGAGACAGGGTAGGTAGGTATGTGTTCCTCCTCTACCTACAGGCTGGTGAGAAGCAAACCTTGCCTAACAGCTCTAGGCAAAGTTACAGACAGCCCAGACATACCTAAATGACTTCAGAGACAGCAAAGCCAGGAAGAGCAAGTGAAGATGGGGGCAAGAGGCTCCCTGGGATGGGTAGGTTGGCAAGACTCCCAAGACTAGCCCAGGGTGCTCTGGACTTGTGGCACACATAGGGCATGGGAGGGAGAGTCAGATAAAGGTACCCCTACCATATCTACAGGGCAATAGACACACTGGCGAGCAGGAACCCTGTGTGCCCTAGCTGCAATGGCCACTCCGTTCACTCATGAGGACTGGTAGGTGCCCAAGGCTATGCTGCAGGACGGGATCTTCCACAAGAAGGAGCGGCAGCAGGGCAGCTCCATCCACACCATGCAGGACACCCTATCATCTTCCTGAGGCAGGATGATGGCAAAGGCTCTGGGTTTGGGCGCTAGGGTGTGCCGGTGTTCAAATATTTGTTCACGGACAAAGCAATGCTGGGAAGCACTTTGGGCATGTTTCCAAATGAAATCAAGAGCCATCAAATGTGGCGCTGTGCCAGCCAGCCCTCTTCTGAGAGGCCCTTCAGGAAGGGACCCATCTATAGGCAGCAGGACACAGGAAGATGGCAGGACTGCACCCATTCTCTCTCCACAGCTTACTAGTTCCACTGAGGTGTTCTAACAAGCCAGTGAGTAGCCTGGACATCTGTCTGGGGCCTCATGTCTCCCCGAACAGGGCCAACCTCTTCCTTGTAATGAAAGGCAATCTCAAGGACTCAAGGGGCCATGCCTGTTTGAGGACTCCATTCCCGAGTGATCTGAGTGTTTTAAACACAGGACTGTGAAGGGACAAGCCTGAGACCAGGTTCAGCTCAAACGCAGCCCCCTCACCTCAGCAGAGCGGCTTTGTGGCCTCAAGCCATTTGCTTGGCTTCTCTGAACAAGCCCACAAACACGGAGAATACGTACCTGGTGGGCAGGTACTAGCATTCCTCTGGCCCCCTGGGTTATAAGAAGCAGTCAGTCATCTTTCAGACAGTTTCTCATACCTTGCTGCTTAGGCACTTCCTTCCGTCCAATCAAGTCCCAGTTTGTTGCCCCAAAAATCAAAAGCTGCCCTTTGCATTTAGACCCTTCGAGTTTCTAGAGAGAGAGAAGGCCAAGAATTAGCTTGTTAGACTGCTTGCGGCTGGCACTCACAGCTGTCCTAGGAAATAGAAGACACAAGGTCTCTCTCTACAGCCTCAGCCGTGTGGGTTGCAAATGTGCATGCAGCACTGCACCTGGCTTGAAAAAAATTCTTGGCTGGTGCTTTCATACTGGCACAGATCCCATCCAATAAGCCCTCATCTATGTGCTCCAAGGTAGGCAACCCCAAGCCCATCCCCAGAAGTCTCGAGATTGAGCTCAACACTAATGCTGAACCAAAGGAGAGCTCTGCTCTCCCCCTTCAGGAGCCACAGCCCGAGAGGCCAGTTACATATCCCCCACTCTAAGCATCATGGTGTCTGACAGCCTTTACACTTAAAGCCCCGCAGGTCCTCCGCATAGTCACCATGCCATCAGTCCCGTGTTTTTAACAGGAAAGGAGGAGGAACGACAGCTGGGTATCTTCATCTGGGAGATGGAAAGGGTAAAGACAAGGCTCAGCTTTGGTGGGGCCGCAGGGTCTGATGCAGAGGGGCCTTTCATGGATCATTCAATGCTGTCCACAGTGGGGACAGGACCAGTGGGTAAAGGGGGACTTTGTCACTGGGACGTCCAGACAAGAGCGTGACTCCTCGCCCTCTCCACACGTAGAGATGGAATTTTGCTCTGCAGTGCTGATTGCCTCTCAATCTCAGTGGTCCTCCTGCCTCAGCCTCCCTGCACCAGAGTACAGGTACGCGGCACTGCACCTGTCCAGCCATCTTAAACACAGAAACCCACAGCTGGGCTACTGAGCCCCACCACCCATAGAGTTCACACTTTAAGGCCACTACACAATTATGGGCTGTGCCCATAAAATCATTAGTACTCTCTCCTTGCCTTCAGGTCGAATACATTATTCTTTCCTTTGGAAATTACTTGTAGGCTGCTGAGCTGGCTCCACGAGATAAAAGAAGTCATCGTGCAAGCCCGATGAACTGAGTTCAAATCCTCAGGAGCCATGGCCTCTGTGTGTTCATACTAACACACACACAATAAATAAAATGGATGTCTTTGAGGAAAATGCACTTTTGCTTTGCTTGAGACAAAGGCTCACTATGTAGCCCAGGCTGGCCTTCATTTATATAATCCTCCTGCATTAGCCTTCCAAATGCTGGGATTATACCCAATTTCCAAACACACTTTGCGGGGGCAGAGAAATGGCCCAATAATTAAGAGCATTTACTGCTCTTATAGAGGACTCGGACATGCCCACAAACACAGTTTTGTGTTCCTAGTACCCAGATCAGGTAGAGAGTGGCTCAGAACTCTGTAATTCCAGTTCCAGGGGATCTGACACCCTTTGACTTGAGGGCATCTGTGCACACATGGTGTAAACAGGCACACACACACAAACAGAAATAAAAATTAGTACAGAAAGAAAAAGAGAAAAAGAATTCTTTGTAAAGTATATTGTAAGCTCAGTGGAAAATGTCTAGCCTGGGAAAATCCTTGGACTCCATCCCCATTACAATAAGCAAATACAAAATAAATAAAAGCAATTAAATAAATAAAATAATAATAAATAAAATAAATAAAAGCAATTAAATAAAGTCGGTTGTTAGGCTCAATCTATGTACCTACCCCTATACTCCTCCATCCTTAAGAAAGAGACCCTTGTGGAGGCCTGGAGCAAACCAGATCTGAGCAGCAGCTGCAGCTCCCAAATCTCCAAGCCGTGGCCCCAGATCAGCTGTCCTGGACAACACCCTCCACGGTCTCCATTTTATTGGGGGGGGGGGGAATCTGAAGTCCCAGGCATTCCCAGTATTATGGTCCAGGAGGCAGATGGCAGGGACCAAGCTTCAAGACTGACTCTCTGCTGCAGGCCCAGGCCTCACAGGACTGGAGTGGCCTCCCTGTTCAATTATTCAGGAGTATGGAGTGTGGGGCAGCCTTGCAGCAGCAGACTCAAGTTACCAATGGGAGCCTACTTTCCCTTACTCTCTCCTTTGTTGAACGGCAGGTGTGGCTGGAAGTCTACCAGCCTCAGCCCATAGCACCGGGCCCTCTGTAAGGCCATCACTTACTGTGTATGCGTGACCACTCTTCAGTTCAGGACTTTGAAGGGACCCAGCAATAGATGGGCAAGGTCTCAAATCCAGCAGGACTCCAGGCCAGACAGCACCGCACTAGCAGCTCAGCACTCGGAGAGGTAATCACACAGCAAAGCTTCTTGAGTGCTGCGGACACCACGAGTTGAGCTCTACCAGTCCAAAGGGCTGGCGGCCAGTGTCTACTGCCTACTGCTACCCCTGGGGTTCCTGAAGCTTTCATGCCAGCTAGTATGTACAGGAAAGCCCTGTCTGTGGGCAACCTTGCCTGGATGCCCATTAAAAACATGACCTGTTACACTGGCTCCAGTTTCACACCATGGCCCATGTTCTCACAGAAGATGAGTGATTGCATTCACTGCCAATACCTACTTTACTAGTAACCCAACAGTTCACATCTCTACAGCCTACGTCTTCCCTCCTTCTTAGGGAATAAGAACTTTAATTAGTGCTATTATAATGCCCTTTCAAGCAAAGCCCCCAGCAAAAAAAGCAAAAAACAAAACAAAACAACAACAACAAAAAAACCCTCAACCACAGAACTGCAACAACATATCCCATAAGCCTGTTGGCCCTATCCAGGGGACCAGAGTGAGCAAATGGATTTGGGAGGGCTTGGGGGCTCAGTGGAAGAGCATGTGCTTAGTCCTGGACTCAGTCCCAAGCACTGGAGGGAAGGAGGCAGGGAGGGAAAGACAGGAAGAAAGAACAAGCCCATGGTTTCCCTGCTCTGCAAAGGCTAGCCCAGCCTACACTGTACCTGAAGGCATGCAGGCAAACAAAGGCCAAGAGTCCAGAATGGGGGAACTCCATCTCACCTAGCTACCTACCTCCCCATGACTGGTCACAGGACTGACCTGGGCCCAGATGAGCGGCTAAGACAGAAAATGCACTGAGTATCTTTAATCAACAAACTGGGAGTACTTGGCCACAGCAGTTTCGGAATTGTTGCCCAAGTACACTTCGCAAGGCTGAGTCAACCTCTTCACATGGCCATTCAGGAGACTGATGCCCTGGGACAAGGATCACAGAGCTGGTAACAACAGTCCCCGAGGGCTTCCAACCCTCCGGCTTCAGCTACGTTCACTATGAATGGACAATGTGTCTCAGGGGTCCATGAAGCCTTAGCAACCCGTTAGAAAACCCACAGACCAGGCGGTAGTGACACACTCCTTTAATCCCACCGCTTGGGAGGCAGAGGCAGGTGGATCTCCAGGCTTAAAGCTAGCCTGGTCTACAGATCGAGTTCCAGGACAGTCAGGGCTACTATATAGAGAAACCCTGCCTCAAAAAACAAAACAGCAAAACAACCAAACAACCACTCAGAGCAGGACCACCTGTGCCACTCACCAGTTTCTGAGGATTCAAGCAAGACTACCGGGAACTATGAATCAGCCTCTTCCTTGAAAGACAAACTACACATCCTACCTGTGAGCCTCCAATCCGTGACTAACATGGGACAAGACCAAGTCGCTAACTTAGGACAAGACTGAAGTTTTCTACAAACTGACAAGTCTCCTGTCTTTCCTAGCACACGCCCCTCAACAATGCAAGCATTTGGCTCATCTTCCCAAGCCCAACACACCTGCAAGCTCAGGATAAGGGAAGGCTCAGACACTGGCAGAGGAGCCTCCTTCCAGCAACCCACAGGGGAGAGGCTGGTGTCTGTTCAGTTAAGTAACTTCTGAAAGATCAAGAAACTTAAGCCTACCACAGAGAACAGTCCCTGATCTGCCTAGCAGAGAAAGACCATGATGGCCCTTTGGGCCAGAGACACTGGGCAGTCTGCTGGCCTAGGCCTGTGGGAAAGAATGCAAGGCTGTGCTCTTGACCTTGAGAAACCCAAGAAACTTGCCAGATGCAACAGTGTATCTCTTCTGAATCCTCACAGGCCCCTACCTTCACCCATCCTCTATGGCCCTGTACTCACTCACCAGTGTGAGAATCCTCAAGAGGCCCTGCTTTCAGGTGGCAGACACAGCTTCTAAGTTCCTGTTTCTATACATGTACGGGAAGTTAGCTGTACACAGAAAACAAGCACAAACTGCAGGGGGCTGTTTCCCTCAGAGATGGCATGTCCCAGAAGGACACAAAGTGCCAACTGCAATCCGGGGTTGGAGGAGGCAGAGACAGGTCTCCGAGTCCCTGCTACACGCGCCGTTCTTCCACTCCTCATGCAATCCACTCCCACGCCGTGGGGTTAAGATATCCTTCCAGACTATAAACTTGCTGCTTTTGCAGTGGACTAGAGCAGTACAGCTGCTAGCTCAGACACAGATAATCCAATTCTATGTGACTTCCCCAAGCTCGCGAAAAACCCCACACAACAGAGGCAGGACCCCATCATGCCTCTCCCCCCCCCCCGTTTTTTCGAGATAGGCCTAACTTCTTAATCCTGTCCAAACTCTCTGAGTTGGGGAGTAGGAGACCAATTGGTGAGTTCCTCTTTTAATAGGCAGGCTGAGACCATCGCACTATCTGGTTGCTTCACGCAGGGTTCCCCTGCATGCCTAGCCAGGCCCTTCCTTCCACTTCACTGTGAAGGCTGCTTGTGAAGTACATTCACGGGCGCGATCTGCGATGGTTAAGGGCTCTCTACGATCCCATCTAGTGTGCCTGGATGGCTGTGAGGCGTCCAGGTCCCTTTAACCCTTGTCACCTCTCCAGAGCACCCTCCGAAGCAAGGGTGACTCTCTCCGAGGCTCAAGCCCCATCTCTTTCTTAGGGTTAACATGAGAATGTGGTTGCTTGCCGGGAAGGAGAGCAGAAGTGTACCAAAGAAAACTAGCACACAAAGTTCTAGGAGGGACGCTGCGGACCCTGGGCCCGGCTAGTACCGCTCCTGGCGGGGCTTTTCCCGCAAGCAGCAAGTTAGATGGCCGAGACCAGAGCGCTAGGCGGGCCGACCCCACCGGCCCCACGCCGCGGCCACCCGAGGCAAACAAAGCCCAGCGCCGCTCTGCGGGGGGTCGCGGGTGGGAGGAGGCGAGCCCCCGGGCGGGGAGGGCCTCCGAGGAGCATGCGCGCTCACACCCGCGCGGGCCCCCACCATGCCCCGCGCGCACCGGCCGGCCGACCGCGCCGAGTACCCAGGGAGCATGCGCGCCGCGCGCCAGGCCCCGCCCCCCCGGGGCGCCCGAGCCGCAGCGGCGGGAACCTCAAAGCCCCGGCGCGAGCCGGCAGCTCCCGGCGGGTTGCCCTCCCCCCCCCCCCCCGGAGGAAAAGACGCGGAGAAGGGGGGAGTAGAGCGAGGGGGAGGACGCACCCGCGGCAGAGCGACAGCCCCCGCGTGGCCACGCACGCCCCGCTCCCTCGGCCCGGGACCAGCTCCCCCGAGTTCCCCGCGCGGCGTGGGGGGAGGGGCGGGGCGTGACCCCGCGGCGCCCCTCCCCCCAACCGCCAACCGCCCGCGCCCCCGCCCCACTCACGACGCGCTCCTTCGTGTGCTCGGGCTCAGTGATAACCGCGGCCGCGCCGCCCGCTTTGCCCGCCGCCGCCGGCCTGGCCGCGCGCTTGCCGCCGCCGGGGGCCCCGTCCAGCTCCGGGCCGTCCTCGTCGCCGCTGCTGCCGCCGCCGCTGCTACTGCTGCAGCGCTCGGGCCGCTCGCGCTTCCTGCCCGCGGGGCCGCCGCGCCTCCGAGGCCCCGCGCGCGCCGTGCCGTTGCCTGAACTCGGCTCCTCCCAGGCCGCCCCCTTCTTCCTGGGCATGGTCGCGGGCTGCGGAGACACGGGAGCACAATGCACACGGGCTGGCGGCGGGGGAGGGGAGCGCGGCGCGGCGTGGGCCGCCCCACCTGCTGCTCCCTCGCCCCTCCCCACGCCGCGCCCACGCGGGGACCCCCCCGTCGCCCCAGCCCGGCCTCAAGCACCTGCGAGCACGCGCGGAAAGAGGAACTTTCGTGGGCCCCCTGCCCGGCCCCCGCTGCCCCGCACTCGCCCCGTCTGCTTTTTTTTTTTTATTGATTTTGAACAATGGGATCTCTGTCTGTCTCCGATTAAACCACGTGGATCCGCCTTCCTTCCCCTTCTTATTCATTCCGTTCCCCAACCCCCCCTTCCCCAGCGTTGTTTTTTTTTTTAAACCTTTCTCGTTGGGGTGGGGGGAGGAGGGAAAAAAAGGAAAAAAAAAACTTTCCCAGACCCTGCAAACTGGTCCCTGACGGTTTCCAGCCCCTACCTGGTTGGAGTGATGAGAAAAGGGAGGGGGAGCGATTGAAAAGACGGGTCGACGGCTTCTTCTCTCCCCGGCCGGGACGAGGGCTCCAGCCCACTCACCAGATACACTTAAAATGTAAATACGAGCTTCCAGAACAAATGCTACAACACAAAACAGAAACACATGTGCGGCCGGGCGGCAAGCGAGCGCGCGCGCGGCGGGCGGCGAGGGGCCCCGGGCGCGCGCGCCCCCTACCGGCCGGAGGACCCCGACGGCCGGGCCACCCACTGGAGCCTGTGTCCCGGGCACCCGGCGCCACGCCGCCAGCCCCGTTGGGCCTGCCGCTGTGCGCTCCGCACGCCCTTCCACGCAGCGCGGCCTGCGCGTCACAGGCGTCTATGGGGCTCCAGAGAGTGTCAGATTCTCTTGTTTTTTCCTCTGAGCGTCTAGACAGGTCACCTGAGGACACTCGCTGGAAAATAGTTGCTTTGCTCACGCAGCAGCCAACGAGGGACGTGCCCTAATTGAGTGATTGGAATGAAAGATGAATACAATTTGAATAACTTTCTCCTGTGCAGGCTAGATTTTATTTGCCGTGGACGTGTCCCAGGATGCAGCCGGGTGCTGTAACATGGTCAAGTTACATAAAGGTTTGATATACTAAGAAACTAGTCATTAGCGGAGGGTGGGGGTAAGGCATAGGTGGACTTGAAACTTCTGGTGAAAAGTTTTTCTTTTTCTGTTACCATATTTACTGCGCCCCCAGGACAAGCAAGACAAGATGCAAGGGAGCTAGATGCTGAAAGTACAGACGAAGAGAACAAGATCTCTGCCCTTTTGGAAGGCGGAGTAAGGAGAAAGCTTAAGAAATAATTGAAAGCGTGGTACTTACCCCATTCCAGGATTAGGGAAGGCGTTTCCTGGGCAAGCTGGGTTGAGCAATTTAAAGAATCCGACCTTCCAGGAAAAGCATTTTCCCAGCCCCATAGAATAGTGCAGGGTTCCCCGGAAGGGAAGTGGCCAGAGGTGCTGAGGTGAGTGGGATTAAAGTGGCAAGGCTGAGAAGTCGGCAGGCGCCAGCTCGTAGAACCGGGCAAGCAACGTGCAGGATTGTCGACTGGACAAAGATCGACTTGGCTGGTGCCAGGGGGAGGCTTGCATCTCAGTGTCACTTTCTCTTCTACCAAAGGTTTCTTCCGTTTTCTTTAGGGTTTTGTTCTGTCTCAGACAGACCAGGATGGCTGAACCCACCTTGTAGTCCAAGCCGGCATTGAACTTGATCCTCTCTCCTCCCCCTCTCAAGTGCCCGAGTTGACTACTGTGAAAGTTTCTTTTTTTTTCTTTTCTTTTTTTTTTTGGCAACTTTTTTGGTTGACTAGAGACTTCTAGGGTCTTTGCGGTTCATTCTTTTATTATATCGAGAAGCGAGGGGTGGGGTTCACTCTGAAAGCAGAGACTCCAAGAGAACCAAACCTAAGTTATTTGATAAAGTCATAAGTCTGTGTGCCCCGAGAGCCGGAAGCACTTATGTAAAAACAGCTCCGAAGATGAGCATCAACTGGTACATTTTGGAGATATACAGGTCAATACCACATAGGAGCACCGTTTGAAAGCCTCTTAATAGGCCAGGCATTTGAAGAGATTAAACCTTGAGGCTTTGATATAAAACATTAGAACCAACCAGAAAAGAATTCTGTCTTAAGTGTGCAGTCAGATCTTGGTTTCAGGAAACGGCATGCCCGAGCTTGTCGGGGGAGGTGGCTGGTTCGGCGTTTATCTTCCCGACAACACCCTGTGTGGCCAATTAGAAACGCTGAGGGCGCCTTTAAAAGGCTTTCAGGCAGCGAACGTCTCTTTCTTTCTCCGGCCCCATTATACTGCTTTCTGTCGGCGTAAAAGGCACATGCGTCAGAACCGCTGATGCAACCCGACGCTAATATCACGTTGCATCATCTGACCCAAGGTGTGGTGCTTCCAAAACTGGTTTTTCCTGAGGCCGCGCTGGAGAAGCTGCGCAGTTGGGGGATAACACCCAAAAACTGGCCCACCTCGGCGAGTGATAAAAGTGTTTTCTGCCGCTACATGCCTCAGTTCTCCACTATTTCAGACCCAGGGAAAGCCCGAGTGACTCCTGGCTGAGATGGGGTGCAGGCGCATACGCTCAGCTCATCAGCGAGGCACGTCGGCAGCTCAGATTATGTAACCAGTGTGACAGAGTGAGGTACACCTACAGGGCAAGCTGGGAGTGCTCCTTCCAACTCCCACTTAAGCTTGGGAATTTTACTTCATTGTAGTTGAGCAACTGCTCAAGGACAGAAGAAAGGGGTGAAGATGAGAAGGGAGAGGAGGCACTGAGACTTCTGGGCCCTTCTCTCTGAGCACAGGTGACTGGTCTCCGTTTGTACATGCAAATATGGGTGATCTTGCTGTTAGCCTTTTCTGCTACTCCTTAATAAAGGTTGGACTCAGCGACTGCCAGAGTCCTTCCCAGAGGGGCGATTCCATCCAGCTGGACTGCAGGAATCTCCCCTTAGTCCAAAGAGTCTCTGGTCGCATTTATATAAAAATGAAGCCAGCTACTGCTGGTGGAGATGGTTTTGTTTTTAGAACAGGTCTCCTGTACTCCAGGCTGGCCTTGAGCTAAAAATGTAGCCAAGAATACCTTCAACTTTTGATTCACCTGCCTCACTTCTGGAGTGTTGAGATTACAGGCATGGACCACCATAGTCCATTTATATGATGCTGGGAATTGAATCGGCTTTATACATGCTATGCAAACACTCTACCAATCTATGCCCCCAGCTCCAGATGGAAGTGAAATCTAATGGTCTGGGTATGTGCATTGGACCACAATAGGGTGCCATCCAATCTGCCTGTGCTGTTGAACAAGGAAGGAGGGAAACTACTGAACCCTTGAATAGGAGAGGTCCATGATGCAAATGTCCTACAGCATAAACACTGGATTTGTTTGTTTCATTTGGGGTTTTTGTTTTGTTTTGTTTTCCTTTGTTCTTGAAACAATGTTTCACCGCTTAGCTCATGCTGGCCTTGAACTGGTATCCTGTGGCCTCACCTCCATCATGGGCTTGTACCACCATACCCAACTCACACTACACTTGAAGACAAAACGATCCATGACAGAGTTCATGAACAGTTTTTATTATATCAGCGTGGGCTTGATGGTATATAGCTATGTAGTCTCACTTGGGAAACTGAGGCAAGGGGAATCATAAGTTTTAAACTGTTGGGCTGTGGTGGTGTGTGCCTGTGATCCCGGCACTTGAGAGACAGAGACAGGCAGATCTCAGTGAGCTTGAGGCCAGCCTGTTCTGAATTGCGAGTTCCCGGACAGCCAGGACTGTTACACATAGAAACCCTATCTCAAAACAACAACAACAACAAAAGTTTGAAACTAGCTTGGGCAACATATAGAGACCTCCCATAAAAAGCAAATAGATGGGTGCAGTGGTGGTACTCACCTTTAATTTTAGCATTTGGGAGGCAGAGACAGGCAGATCTCTGTGGGTTCAAGGCCAGCCTAGTCTACAGAGCAAGCTCCAGGACTAGCTTCATAGCTATGGGAAAACCCTGTCTCAAAAAAATAAATAATTAAAAATAAATCTGCAACACGAACAACCAACAACAGCAAGAAGAATAGGGCAGGCATGATGGCTCAACAGGTGAAGTAAAGGCTCCCGGCATCCAGCAGTGCAAGCATGATGACCTGATTCCTGACCCTTGGAACCAGTCTGCAACCCGTGGTATGTGTAATCAGTGACATTGTACATGCACCCACAATGATACATTTTTTAAATGTAAAGTCAAATAAATATTTAAAATAACATCGATTTCTCGTTGAAATGATAACATCTTGCCTCTCTAGGATTGATATACCAAAATTATATTTTTTCTTGGTTTCTTTCTCTTTTTTTCTTGAGACAGGGTTTCTATGTAGCCCTGGCTGTCCTGGAACTTTCTCTGTAGACCAGGCTCACCTCGAACTCAGGTCTGCCTGCCATTGCCTATGAGTGCTGGGGTTAAAGACATGTGCCACTAGGCCTTTTCTCTCTTTTGTGGGGAGGTGTGCCAAGGGTTTCCTGTGGAGGTCAGAGAATAACTTGCTGGGTGCAGGAGTTGGGTCCTCCCGGGGACAGACCTTAGGTCTTCAGCCATTTTATTCCCACTGAGCTGCACTGCAAGCATGACCGGAAAGCCAGTAGATGAATGGAAAAATGAAATAAAATGAGGAGCCGGAGGCTGGAGCGATGGCTCAGTGGTTAAGAGCACAAGCTGCTCTTCCAGAGGTCCTGAGTTCAATTCCCAGCAACCACATGATGGCTCACAACCATTCGCAATGAGATATAGTGCTCTCTTCTGGCCCATAAGCATACATGCAGGCATAACACTGTATACATAAAAAAATTAAAAAAACAAGAACTCCATTACAAAATAATGAAATAAACAAAATAAAAATAAAGACATTCTTTGGAGCCGGGCGGTGGTGGCGCACACCTTTAATCCCAGCACTTGGGAGGCAGAGGCAGGCGTATCTCTGTGAGTTCGAGGCCAGCCTGGTCTACAAGAGCTAGTTCCGGGACAGGCTCCAAAACCACAGAGAAACCCTGTCTCGAAAAAACACACACACAAAAAAGACATTCTTTGGACTAATAACGGAGATTTTTATTGTAGATATAAAGAGAAAGCAGGCAGAGGAAAGAATCCAGGCTGAGCAAGATCTGTAGACTGAACCCAACCATGGGAGGAGAGGGCCCGGAGAGCAAGAGACCAAGAAGCGGTCAAGAGGTAAAAGGGCTAAAATAGCGCCACGCGTAGCCAGAATGGCTGGATTATATAGGGAAGAAGCGGTGGGAGAAGGGCAGGCCCAGCCCAGTCTCTGGGCTGGAGAATTTAGGGTAGGGGTGGGATGTGTTAGCCAGGGAGACTCTGTAGCAGGTAGGAACTGAGGGATGCTGGGAGAACCTGGCAGCCAGGTCCGCTTTGATGCGTTATTAGGCGTCTTAGCAGCTTGTCCGGGCTTTGAGGCCAAACACTGTCTTTGTGAGCGCCACTGGAAAATGAGTTGGTTGTTCTGGAGTCAGCTCTTCCTGTTTTCGGTCTGGTTTCCTGTTAGTAAAATGGCAACGTTGATCTGGGGTTCCTTCTGAATTTATTATTTCCTCACACCCAAACCTGTAGGTAGATCTAATAAGTAAGAGCTTTCCTGAGAAGAAAAGGTCTTGTTCTAGGGACTGGAGAGATTGCTCAGCACTTAAGACCACGGACGGCTGGCTCTTCTAGAGGACTTGGGTTCCATCCCATCACCCACATAGTGGCCCACAGTTGTCTGTAACTCCAGTTCCAGGTGATTCAACCTCCTCTTCTGGCCTCCTTGAGCACCGGAAATGCATGCCAGAGGGTGCACAGGCAAAACACACACATAAAAATAATTTAATTAAAAAGAAAAAACTGTTCTATTTCTGATAGTGAGTCACGGAATTTTAGAATCCAAAAGGTCTCTAAATGTTACAACTGGCCCTCTGAGTCCCCAGCCTGGCAGCTATCCTGGGATCAACCTGTGGTTTTTCTGGCCACTATCTTGTGAGCAGCCAGGGCAGCTGGCATGGAGGACGCGGTCTACATTTGCTTGCTGACCTAAATAACGTCCAGAAGAGGAATGGAAGTTCAGAGACGCTTGTAGGGTTGCACAGCTGGCTGCTAAGACAAGCAGGACAAATGGAGCGTCTCAGCCCCGGTCAGGAAGCGGTGATGCGACCCTGGGACCAGCAGCATCAGCATCCCTCGGGAGTTTCTTAGAAACTAACTTACTAAAACAGAAACTGCAGGGGCGGGAGAGATGGCACAGCAGTTAAAGCCAGCATTGCGCTTCTCGGTACCCACATGGTGGCTGCCCCATGCACATGGTGCACTTACATACAAGACGGCAAAATGCCCACGCATGCAAACTAATGTTAAGTTGTTTATTATTATTATTTACTATATGCTATATTTTCTTTGCTTTACTTTTTATTTATCTTCATTTATTTTTTTTTATTTTATTTATTTCTAGACAGGGTCTCACTACACATGATTGGCTAGCATGGGACTCCATTTGTAGACCACGTTGGCCTCGAACTCACAGAGATCTGCCTGCCTGCCTCTGCCTCCTGAATGTTAGGATTAAAGGAGTGTGCTACCATACCTGACTGTTATGATTATAATTATGGTTTTAGCCAGGTGTCATGGCATACTCCTTTACTCCCTGCACTCGGGAGGCAGAGGCAGGCTACTCTCTGTGAGTTCCAGGGCAGCCTGGTCTACAAAGTGAGTTCTGGGACAGCCAGAGCTGTTGCACAGAGAAAGCCGGTCTCAAAAATCCAAAAGCAAGTAGGTAAATAAATTAATTTATGATTTTAAAGACTTATTATTTTTATTTTATGTATATGAGAGATTTCCCTGCATGTATGGCTGTGCACCAAGTGTGTGCAGTACCCACAGAGACCAGAAGAGTGCCCTAGAATTGGAACTATAGACTTGTGAGCCCCCTTGTGGGTGCTGGGAATGAAATCAAACCAATGCAGACAAGACAAAGGAAACAATGAAACAAACAAACAGAAGGGTGTACCCTACCTCTGAGCTACACTTAGCTTCTGCCAGGAACATGCATCTTAAACAGATATCCCAGGAGCCTTTTCTGTTTCCAAAAGCCTGAGAAGTGCCACCTGTTCGTCCAGTTTCCTAAAGGAAGGGCCCCCTGCCTATTTTTATCCTTGGGGTGTTCATCCCTTAGTTCGTGGAGAGGGACTCTAAGCTAAAGGACGTAGGAGCCACGAAGCTGGCTCAGTGAGGACCAGGGTTTAAACCGAATCAATGAGTATTTGCCGGCATT